CTTCTCAAAGAAAACTTTAAATCGCTTTTCAAAAAACCATGCTGCAATATGTGGATTATCAATAAGATCTTTGCGCCGACGCTTAGCAGCTTCCTGTTCTGTTTCTCTTATGGGATTCTCTCCATTAGGCATAAGGCGATGTAAATCAGGCCAGTGCATATCAGCCGCGCTAAACGTGAAAAATATCATCTCTTGAGACCCTAACTGCCTTATCATGTCTAATAGTTCAGCTCTGCGGCGCATCCAGTATTGACGGGTACCACGTAAGCCTTCGCCATACCGTACCACTCGGTTTGCCACATGAGTGTCATTTTGCATTAAATTAAGGATCTCATTTACAGTAAGTTGCCCTTCCTCCAAATTCTGTTTAACGTACACAGGCTTTCTGATAATGCTCTCCATCTCATTAGCGAATTTAGTGCAAAATAACGCTATCGCGAATGGCAAGCAAATCGCCCATCTTTATAAAGCATCAAATGTTTAAAGTATTCTGCCGGTTTTACTTCTTTTATTTGATGACTGTGAAGGTCTGCAGTACCTCTGGGGAAAAGTGTGGGAAATACTCTTACTATATATCCGGCAATATGAAACTTATCAATAGGCTGGCCTTCAATATGTGGCCAATTAATCCAAAGATTCTCGTGCTGCCGCATCCGATTAAAAGTATCAGTGATCACACTATCTTCACTTTTTAAATTATACCGAAAATATAAAGTAGTTAAAGAAAAATGGATACAATGCAAAAATAAAAATATCATACGTGTATGGCCTCGGCCTTCATCGCTTCCAAATGGACCACAATGGGAAGACTTCTGCAGACTAAAAGTTCTTCTCCATGTTTGTCATAAAGACCTCTCACAACTTACAGAGAATGGAACCCTCTCATGGGAGGATTTGTACTATCACCATCTTCCCGAAATAAATGCTAGTCCCGTTGATTTAATTGAATCTACAGCAAATAATTTCGAAGTTGATGGTAACGATTCTGACAATCAATATCAGGATGATATACATAGATTTCGGCCCGAATGGATGATGTTGTCAGATATGATGCCGAGTACACAAATATATTATTCTTCTGATCTTGGAACCCGTGATATCGACAGGAATCATGATTGGGTTAGCGAAAGTCACTTATGATACCCCGAACTTACAGATATTGAGAACTTTATCCAACAAGCAATTCGCGAAGATACCATAGTTCAAGAAGATTTACCGGAAGTCGATCATAGAACCCTAAATAATAAACAAAAAATGATATATAAAAGAATAGAATCTCATTGCACCGCTATAATTTCAAATCAACCTGTAGAGCCATTACGAATCATTATTATGGGCACTGCGGGAACCGGTAAATCTTATCTTATTGGAGCTATTCGAAGCATGCTTTGCAGGATGTCAAGATATAATGGCATATATGAGGATATTTTACTTGTGCTTGCTCCAACGGGCGTCGCTGCTTTCAATATCCAGGGTAGCACTGTTCATTCGGCACTTTCTGTTTCGATAACGAGCACAAATATTGATCTTGAAGGTAACTGCTTAAAAAAACTTCAAAACAAACTGCAGAAAATATGATATTTTATTATTGATGAGATGAGCATGGTGGGGCGTCGCTTTCTCGCTATAATCAATTTACGGTTACGCCAAGCATTTCCAAATAATAATAACATACCATTTGGTGACCAGTCTATCATTCTTGTCGGTGATTTCGGACAACTTCCTCTCGTATGTGATCTTCCTATGTATTCAAAGGACCCTCGTTTATCAGATTCTCTATCTGAAGATGGACATAAAGCTTATAACCAATTTAAAGAGGTATATAAACTCGAGGTTATACAACGACAAGCTGGTAACTCAGATGAACAATGTCGATTTAGAGATCTTCTATTACGTTTACGTAATGGAATTATTGATGACACGGCTTCCGGAAAATCTACCTAAATTCGAACAAAAAACTTTTTTAACTGCAACTAATATTTTTACAAGATGGGAAGAAGTTGAGGAGGCTAATCTTACTAAACTTCGTTCATTAAACCAACCGGTTATTAAAATTTGTGCTGTTCACACGGGTGGTTCTGAGGCTTTAAATGCCGACTCTGAAACAGCAAGAGGTCTTGAATCAGAATTATTATTAGCAAGAAAAGCACGTGTAATGCTTACTACTAACCTTTGGATTTCTGCTGGCCTTGTGAATGGCGCAATGGGAACTATAGAAGATATTGTATTTAAAGTTAAAGAAGGACCCACTTTCTTACCTACGGCTGTTTTAATTTCATTTGACAAATATTGCGGTCCAACTATTACGAATTTAAATGGAATTAGACTTATACCTATCGTTCCTATCCAACATACGTGGGAAGGCAAATCTGGTATGTGTTCTCGCCTACAAATTCCGCTTTCCCTTGCGTGGGCCATTACAACGCACAAGTCACAAGGGTTGACATTATCAAAGGCTGCAATTAATCTTGGGAAAAAAGAATTTGTTGCTGGTTTATCTTTCGTAGCTATATCTCGTGTTTGCTCGCTTAATAATATTATTTTAAATAATTTCACATTCGAAAGACTTTTGCATATAAAAAATTGCAAAAGATTGCAAGAAAGATTAAACGAGGAGGATAGATTGACATCATTAGAAACTATAGACTAAAATATGTATTTTCGATCGTCCTAAATAAACAAATAAATACATGTAAAAAATAAATAACGTCACATCAACAACAAAAAAGGAAAGTACATGCGATGACGTCAACGGAACCCAAAAATTCTGGTCTATTGTTCCCCCATAAAGTCCTCCACTATGTTCCGGACAATAATCAAATAAAATAAAATAAATTTATATTTATAACAAAAAGCTTATAAATTTTAATACGTAATATACAGTATAATCAATCACATACTTTTATGATAATATTGAAAAATTATTTTTAACGCAACCTATTTAAAACCCTTCATTTTAGTAATTTATTTATAATACACGGCCAAGTCATCAGGTTCTTTCAACTATAGAATCAATTTAAATGTCTTTATACACAAATATATTATAAAAATTTTTTTGTCAAGAAAAAAAGAGAAATATTCAACACTTTACATTAAAATTTGTTATCTGAAAATTATCAATTTCAGATAGCATTCTATAAGTTAATATTATGCGCAACTATTCTAACAAAATTATGAAGAGAGAATTGATCATTCGTTATCGTTGTAATTTTCCAATGAAACTTCAAGCGGATCATCAGTAGCGACAGGAGTGTATTGATATCTTCTTCTTCCTGGAAGGATCCTCGAAAATGCACGTGAAACAAATGCTGGGATTCTTATAGAAGAAATAACATCCGCAATGGTCGATGGAATAGAAGACAAGAACGATTGCGAACCTCCAAGACGGATCCGACTATGCGAAACAGATTCATGGTAAAAAAGCACAGTATATGCAACATTAAGCTTGATAGTATCTGAAAATACCAACCCCAATGAATATCCAAATCGATCTTGTCGTCTGTAAATAACACACGCGGTAAAGATTCCCACAATAACAAATGGAGAAAGGACTAGCAGGACCCAGAAAAGAGCAGAACGACCAGGACTAGGACAAATGTGTTTGGTACCCATGAACTTCTCTTCGTCACCTTTACATGTATTACCATTTATTTTACGATACCTTGATTATCCAAAATCAAATTTAGTCGACGAAAAGTTGGCACAAAGTTGACCATAAAATAGAAATAAACAAACTTACCCAGATATATCATAGTAATATTCTTCACCATTAGCACACTGTTCGCTAACACTGCGTGACAAAGGTTCGGCTTCCGGTACAAGTTCACAAGAGCCGTTGTTAACGCGCATGTAATTGTAATCACTATATAGGATGGGGGGTTTAGTATTCATAAAATTTTTTATTACTGAAGCATAAGATCTTTTCACCATTCAAAATCGTGCTCATTGCATGTGCAATTCCGAGTAATTTCTTTGGGTTGTATTAGCTTTTCGCCAACGGTACAATTCCTATCGAGGTTTCTTCGGTGATAGCTTGTCTTAAAAGGAAAAATTACAAGAATTAATTTTTTTTTTTTTAAAAAAAAGGGATATTTTAAAAACAGCAATCATTGATAACATACCATACGACCGAACAAACACTCAAACCCTTCGTTATGAGTAGGCGACCATAATTCGAAATCATCATGGCCTGGATTATTAAGGTCCAACTTACCTAAATTGAAAAAACAAAAATGATGTCTCTCGATCATATTAAATACAAGGATTGACAGAAAAAATGCAAATACAAACAGGTCCTTGGCAATACACCCTTGAAATCGATGAATACTACGACTTCCCTGTTGAAATCGCCTTCATAACGACCTCGTAAGAGGAATTTGTTACTGATACCTCCAGGCATTGTTGCAATATCATGAACTTTTATAGGTTCCGTCGGTATAGTGAACTGTTTTTCTGACCACGAATTACCCTCGTTGAAAGAATACCTAAGTTTGAGTAAAGACCATTAACAAGCATTTCTACCAATAATAATAACAATGTCATCTAAGAAATCTTACAATATATGATCTGTTGGCTTTTCATCTTCGACCATTACCAAAATAGAACCTTGATCTCCAAATTCATGCATGTATGCGCCCTTCCTAACTTCTTTCCAAGTCATTCCTGCGTCACGGGTCAAGAAAGTATCACCGTCCAAGTATGAGGTTAAATGAGTACCAACATTTCCTACACCAATCATCAAACCCACAGCCGATGAGGAACTGAAAGAATCACGGGGATCCCTTCGTTCGGTATAACTATGAAGGTGTAAAGAGCACTTCAAATTTTTCAAAGATGTCAGTTCCTAATTACCCACTCGCAATTCATCTTACGTAAAAAAACGAGATGATCATTATACAATACATTATCATCGTCACAATCGTATGATTTGCCATTGGAATCATATTTAGGACTTTTCAATCGTCTCCACGTGCCTCCTAAAAAGTTATTCATACGGTTCATAAAGGACTTTTCAGGCGCAAAAAAAAAAGTAGGAATAAAAATAGTGATTATCGAATTTATTTGCTTACCATCATTAAAAGTAATCATCGACACAAGTTTTCTAGAACCACCCATGTTAACCTCGCTAGGATTTATAATTTTGTTTGCCATGGCGATACCATCAATACCATGCATTTTTTCATAATCAACATATCCTCGTTCATCTCGATACGCATACTCCAATGACAAAGAATAATAGGTTCCGTTAGAGTTTGATTTCAATACATTACCCCAGATGTTTCTGGATGATGTAGTAACATGAAGTATTATGGAGTGAGTGGTAGACTCCAAAATCGTAAACGCCTGAATATAAAACCCGTTTTGATATAGTTAGAAATACGAAAAAAAAAATAATAAAAATAAAAATAAAAAATAAAAATAAGAATCGCACTCTTCTAGTAATTTTCATATTAGGTGGGAATTGTGCACTGGCGAATGTTTCACCGTCCATCGAGACCAGAAGATTGAGAATGTCACCGGAGGGCAACAGCTACAAAGAACAGTAAAATTTTGAATGTGAAAAAAAAAAAATAATGATCGAGCAATGATTTCAACACATACCTCTGCGACAACAATGTATTCCTCAAATGTTACGAATCCAATAATATTTCCAACCTTACAATCTGATTTCTTGAAAAAGTCTTTTGAGATACAGAACTGAAGTGGGTTGTTGTAGAACGATCTTTGTGAACCAGACTTGTGAAGATACGACTCGCAGAAGATCAAGTTCTCGTCCACTCTGAATTTTTTATCTCTTGCCCACGTGCATTTTCCAACATAATCGATCATCTCCTGCCAATTCTTCCCGTTATCTTTCGTGTAGTAAGCCTAACATAGAAGCAAACAATGCATAAAAACATATACATATAGATATGTTGCAATAAGCATAAGAAATATATCTACCACTGAATGGCAGTCCGAAGAAAATATTCGCTCGCAATTCGAACTTGCAGTGTATATAAGCCAATCTGCATGCTCGGGATGGTAGTCAAGGATTGGTAGATCGAGGAGATTGGGTTCCATCGGTACATCCATTTTTGTAACACTCTGGGCCGCGTTATCTGAATAATAATGAGTTTTACTCAGCGTAATGAAATAAACCTTTTTATTTAAAAAAAATATATATATATATATATATATTTGAAAATTCATTAGACTTGAAATTCAAGGCTCCTCATGTAAGAATCACAAAACCTAACATACATAACGGTCAAAATAAGTGTTTTGGAACATTGCAAGAATCTTGACACTAGCAAGTTCTGGTATAATTATCCAAGAATATCCTTGATCGTTGCTTCGCCAGACTTCGCCATCTTCGGTACGAGCTACCAGGGTATCAGTCCCGTTGAAATATAAGTAATTGGCAATACGTGAATCAAATACTTGCTAAAAAAAAAAAAATAAATAAATAAAACTGATTTAAGTATTCATTTTGTTAACAGACAACCATATTAGAAAGCGGTCAATCACCGTTTTTATGATGATGTCATTAGCTATCAAAAAATTCAAGAGTTAGTTGAAATTATAACAGACAAAAGGTGAAGGTTAATAAACTTTACACATACTTGTAAGGTCACAACTTTTTTCAACTTTTTCCTCGAGATTCTCTCCGCCCTCACATTTAGATTCGGAAATCTTACGATAACCAGACCTGCCAAAGTATGAGCCAACACAATCATGTGGACGATCAGGATCCTGAACAAACGTCTTGCATTTTCCGTCTTCACGGAAGTAATTGAAATCGCTGACAACAATCACACATTTAGCAATATGGCAACAGAATTCTGTATAAAATGGCAATTGTCAACAAAAGCATACCATTCGAAATCTTTCTCGGTGCATTTACAATTCCTTTCAACCACGGGTTTCAAATCAACAGTGGAATCCTCAATTTTACACTCTCTATCAGCTTTGCGTCTCAAATATTTTATCTAAAAAGAAAAGAGGAAGGAAAAACTTATTTGTAACCTGAAACTTATTGTATTACTGTACACTTAATTTATTCCATGAATTACCTCTTGGCCCAAGAAACATTCGTTAGAAGTACCGTCCATTGGATTCCATCGTTCAAAATCATCGGATTGACCTAGGTTTATGATTATAGCACACGCGAAAAAAATTGGACAAAGAATGAGCAGTAGTAGTAGTAGCGAAAAAAAAAAGAAAATTAAAGTACGAACATGTTCTTTTCTCTAATTGCGTAAAGTCGACATTAATATTCACTGATTTGACTTCACTTTGGTCGGACGAAATTTGAAGTCCGGTTAATAAAAACTTCATGCTGGTAGATTTAGGATTGGCGGTGATATCAAGCACACGAACAAGATATCGTTCATTGAAAATGTACTCCTTCCAATGTTTTCCATAGTCCCAGCTATATCTGAATTTTTCAAAACAAATAATTATTTTCATGGAAACAAATCTAAATCAAATCAGAACAATAGTGAAATCAATTATAAAATTTTTTACTTCAATTTATTTGTGGGACCCTCGTCATCTACTACGGCCATTAAAGTGCCTTGATCTGCAAATTCGTACAAGCTTTCACCAGATCGAATTTGAGTCCAGGTACGACCGGCGTCACGACTCATGTAAGTCTTGGATTGTTCGTATGGCAACAGATATTCACCCTCGTTCCCTACACCTATCAATAATCCGACTGCTGATCTTTTACTAAAAACACCGCCAGATCTTCTGATATCCGTCCGTCCATGCAAATTTAGGTAGCCGTCCTGTTAATTAACCAATTTTTAAAATGGAAAAATTTGTAAGTCGACGCCTTACAGAGCGAACAAAAAATGAAAGGGTTGAGAAAAAAGACCAGACAACACAAAATTATTTCAAAAGTAGAAACACGTTTCGTTCTTACTTGGTTGCTGTGCATTTTTAATCGCTCCCATGTGGACCCTGCAAAACAACGCGTTTATGATGAATAACTTGCTGCCCTTTAATTTCTCATCCGCAAAATTGTCACTCACCGTCATCAAAGCTTATCATTGTAGCAATTTTCTTGCTGGCGCCTCTCTTTAATTCCTGAGTATTGCTCACAACGTTGGCCAATATTATACCACCCATGCCCTGAACTTTTTCAAAATCGACATTACCATAACCATTACGGTTGGTATTTTCCAGACTTAAGGAAAAGAATGATCCGTCCCCATTTGATTTGAACAAGGAGCCGTATTCGGCATTATAATCAAACGATTGATACGCGTCGAGAAATACAGAACCTGTGTCTGATTGTAAAAGGGTGTATGCCTAATGATGATGTGAATTTCAATGTATGAAAAATAAGAAAACGTTCAATAACAAAATATATGGAGCGTTCATAAATATTCACCTTTTTATCTACTTTAACATCTGGAGGAAATTTAGATTCTTTGAAAACAACGCCATCTACAGAAATGTACAGGCCTAGTTGACTATTTTTTTCCTGGGTATATTTAAGGGTAAAACGTTTAAGATTATTGAAAATTTAAAAGAAATCGGAGCAAAAAAAACTTCTTTTTAACAATACCGTTGCAGCAGCCATGTACTTATTGAAAATAAAATATTCAACAAGACCCGACAACTTTACTTCTATTGTCTTCCCGAAGTCTTTCGTGGATATTAGTCGCAACGGATTTGCTTCTGTCGATTTGCCACCCAAGCTATCTTGTCCTCTGGTATTATTTTTGTCATTGTATGATGAACAAAATATGGTTCGTTCTTCTGGCTTACTAAAATCAGTGTCGCGTCCAAATATACATTTTTCTGCCCATGTTTCAACAAGATTCCAGGTTTCTCCATTATTCTTACTAAAGTATGCTTCTGTGTAGTACACAGGGTCTGAATTGCCTCCCAAAAATAAAAGCCATTCAATGTCGTTAGGATGAAAATCGAGAATGGGACGACCAAGAATGTTGGGTTGCCGGGGGAGCGTTATTTCACGGAAGTCGTTGCCACGATCGGACGTATACTTCAACTTGTTATTCTCTGTAAATAGGTAGGCCTGTTTTAATTAAAAAAAAAACGAGCCTTAAAAAGTAACAATTTTCATCGGAACAAATGACAGTAAAAAAAAATAAAAAATATATATTTTTACCCTTTGACTATCATGATCATGTAAAACAATGTGCGCAATACGATCTTCGAAAAGGAGATTCCATTCAACTCCGTCGTCGATACTTCGATAAACACGACCTGTGATATCTTTGGCCAATATCACCTAAAAAATTTTACGTTCCTCGTTAAAACTATTGATTAATAGGTTTTAATCATTTTTGTAAATAGAGAGTTATACCGACAGATGAATCGTTGAAATAATAGAGTGTATCAAAGCTATTATAAGAAGTACGAGTTTTAATGCCTCCAGGCGTGATATGGTCTAACATAATAACGGAAGGTTAACGTTGACCATTCAAAGAAACAATCTTGACTAACGATTACCTTTGGTACACTTCTTATCTACTGGAATATCCTTAATCTTTGAACTCGAAGCATCTCTATTACATTGATTTCCGGGAACCAATCGATACCCTGAAGATGCCATATACGTCTCGCCCTCTTTGGTGCATTTCCCGGGTGGCACATAATCTTTGATGACCTCAATACATTCGCCTTTGTCATTAAGCTTGTAATTATGATCGCTACAAATCAAAATTAAACATAAATCATTAGACGAATGCATGTGACATAATATTTAAAGAATTCAAATATAAACCTATAATTTACCATTCGTAATCTTCGTCATCGCATGGACACGACGTTGATGACTCTTTGTGTTCATGATCTTTTCCAACATAACATTTGGCGTCTTTTTTTCTGCGTCGATATGTCGTCTGAACACGTAATTAAAAAAAAAAAAATTTTTTTTTAATAAATCAGTGCGACGGACACATCTTCCACTTGACTAAACGCTCACCTTTTGTCCCATCAAACAATCTTGACGATCCCCATCAATCTTACGAGCTTGCCAATCTTCAAAATCATTCTCAGTACACATCCTATCATGTAAATCTTTGAAACTAATCCTGAATGTAAAATAACGGTTTAAGCTTCCTTGTTCCGACACAGTCGAGCCAATAAGGATAAAATTTTGCGATGTTGATTCGGGGTCTGACGTGAGCAAATGCGCACGGATTTTGAATGATTGCAGTCCCAGATCAAATGACTCCCTGTGAAATAATAGGTTAACAACTTTTCATTAATTCGGACATAAAATTCTACGGAAAAAAATAACGCCACCTACCAACTTTCTCCATAGTCAGTACTATACCAAATTTTGTCAGTGGGGACCTTATCATCTATCGTGACAATCAAAGAACCCATGTCACCAAATTCATATTTGTTCGGTCCGAGCTTAACAACTTTCCAGGTGATTCCTCCATCTGTTGATAAGAAAGTGTCGCATTGTTCATAAGGGAAAAGATATGATCCGACGTTACCAACGCCCATAAGAAATCCAGGAGCGGCAGATGACGAATAGATCGGCCCATAAACTTTTTTGGTAGTAACCGAGTGAAGGTGTAAAGAGCATTCACCACTTTCCCACTTATCAACCGCGCAATAAAAATCACTTCCCCCATAATTCTTTTCTGGGGGATGAATATACCTCCAAGATGAGATTTTGCCGTCCTCAAATGAGATCTTTGAGCGGATTCTTTTAGCAATAGCACTTCCATCATCTACCTCATGCCAATTGTCGACAACATTTGCAAGTAAAATCCCGTTGACACTTAGCACTTTCTCGAAGTCCACAAAACCCGCGACATTTCGGTTTGTATGATTCAAGCTATCAACAAAATATTCTCCGTCTGAATTTGAGATAAACAATCTTCCAGTCCTCGTTTTTGAAGAAAGAACATCTATCACCAAATGGTAAGGGGCCGATTGCAATATAGTATATGCGTTCTCTTTTTCAAACTTTGTATTCAGCGGGAATATCGCTCTCTTCCAATGCTGACCTCCCTTTGATACGAATAATTCAAGATCATATGTTCTAACATTTTTAACAGCAACTACCAAATATCCATGAGTAGTGCCAAGACCCATTGCAGCCAGTTCATCAGTGCTATTAAACGGCACTTCTTTAGATGTATCGAAATAATTCTCGGACATAATCAAACGATAATCACTCCATTTTCGCATAGATCCATCTGTAGAAGCAGTATACTGAATACAGAATATCGTAAAAACCGGAGCTTCTTGTGATTCTTTCGTGGAACGTGCCCATAAACATTTATCCGTATTTTTCAGAATCAATTTAAGATTGCTAAAGTTATCATCGGTGTAATATGTCTACAGATAAATAATATTAGGTGAGACTTTTTGTCAGGTAGATGCGAGACATTTGAAAGATGCATACCTCATCATTACAATCGGAATTTTCTAAGCATCTTGTTCCTCTGAATAAAATTAAGCCAGGTCTCTCTGCGTGAAAAGACAAAGCGCCTGCTTTTAGGGCCGGCGGAATTGGAGTCGTGAATTCAGTCCAAGTTTCTCCCTTGTTAGTCGTCAGATAATGCTTATTTCCCGATGTCAAAATAAAGGCCTGTACAATAAAAGCGAGTTGTAACCGATCAATACTCGATAAAATTTCGTTCCTCCGCTCCATCATATGAAGAAGCTTACTCGATCCTTCTTTTCAAATGGATGATGAACCAAGGTTGCAGCTTTCTCGGTGACACCAGAAACCGATAACCAGGTCCCACCTTCATTTGTAGATCGATAAACGTTTCCGGCATAATCAAGAAACAGGACGACCTAAGATCCGAACGAAATTACGTTAACCGAATAGTTTGACACTAAAATCATAGTTTACAATTATGTACATATGCTTACTTCAGAATCCTCAAAATAAAAAAGTTGTGATGGTGTATGCTGAAAGCCTTTGCGGTCGCTGCGCGGAGAACCGGAGTACACAACTACGGACATACACAGGATCAGAAAGATAAAATATAGAATTCGGCGCAAACCGAATTCATTAAATATGGGTGGAGGCCCCGAGTTGTCTTTAATTTTCGCCATTACAACCAACACACAAACAAGCTTGAAAGTTTGTTTGTAGCTTTCTACAAATATTTACTTTCCAACGTTATATATTAAGAAACGGTTATGTCATATGATGCCTACGTCTTCCTAATCCACGTGCCATTTCTTTGTAGAATTTTCTACAGTGCAGATCACACGTTTAAGTCGAGACGCGTAAAAATTACCCGTCCGTAATTACTTAATTACTGAATATGGTGACTCATCGATCACCTCAGGTTGACCTCTGAATTAGTGGGGGCAAAAAAAGTAATAACGTACAATATCACACTTCACTTTATCCCTTGATGTTGAGTTCGAGAAATCATGTAAACAGGCAATCTTCGGAGATGGACACGTCAATTCCGTTAAAGATTATTTATTTTATTTAATGCATTCGTTATGGTGAAGTATATTAATTAAATTTCTTAACAAATAATTAATTCGTCATAATATCTGTTGTCACTGAAGTCTTCTTGAAAGACTAGCATTTTTTTTTATCCGTTCTGCTGAAAATTATAGATTTATCAAAATAAATACACTGTAAAACTAACAACTGCAAAGAAAATAAAAACATATTTAAACATCAGTATAAATTGTGAATAAAAATGTAATTGAAAAATATATTGGCGCAACTTTTAACCAAAGAACACATTCATCGTGCTTAAAATGTAAATCATTGCGAAACACGAGCTTTACCTGAAAGTCTATTGAGAACGTATGAGGTGCGAGCTGTTGTGTTCCTACTTTCTCTGCAAGAAAGATCAAATTCAGCTTCGACTCATAGTTCCATTTCATCCACATCATCCTCGTCGTCGTCACCCAAGTATCCATCATTTGAATTCCTGATAACGTTCTCGGCATCCACATCCACATCCATCTCTTCAACTTCGATCGCGGGAGACAACGGATTTTCAGGGATCGTCGGTAATTTTCCATTTTCCATGATGTCCGATATGCGTCGCTCATGTGTAATTTCCTTGTTCTTAGGGTGGGATTGTTTTGAATTTAAAAAGAGTTATTGTGCAAATATTCCAAAGTTAATCATTTTCCAATGTAGATGTCAAAGAAAGAATACGGTCACCGTAAAATGGAATACCTGACTGGTGCTCTCTAATGGTAACCATGGGGGTCGTTGATATAATACCAGTGCTCGAACCGGATTTTCCCTGAATAAAAATGTTTTTTATTTCATAACTTTAGTTTACTTCCAATACGATTATTAGAGATTATCCAATAAGCATGCGCACGTCTTCGGAAGCAACAGTTCCTGTGGTATCTTCTTTAACGATCTTCTAATTTCACCAGGCACAAGTAAGGTTGTTTTTTCATTCGCCTCATCCTCACTTATCTCTGTGTCTGTGGCTTCCGCGTCAAGATTTGTGACCATAACAACGTGCTTTCGTCTAACTGGAAAAATTACCGTTTTATCCGACTCAATAGATTGATCCATATCGAGTTCCATTACACCAACCTGTCCTTCTGTTAATTTTAAAGACCTGTTAACAAACGCTGTCGGCTACTCACTATGCCTGCAATTCCATACTTTTCTTAGCGTAGAAGTTTGCAAAGAAGTAAACCTTTTTTTTCATTGCCATGAAGACTTAAAGCAGTCAGCTCGGAGGATAGAAACTCTGAAACATATCTTCGTTTGGCACGTTCTGTCTCCAATTGATCTATATCAGATTCCGTGGGGTGCTCCCGCTTTCTTTGACTCGAAAGTGTGAATAAGGAATCAGCCTCCATTTCACAGAAAAGGTCAGACAAAAAGGTTGCATATTATCAACTTAGCAACGCGTGGTTGATTATGTATTGTGAACAGCCATGATCACGTTCCACCTTTTTCGACTTTTTCTCTTATGATGTAAGTATTTCAAAATTTTTATAGTGGTTCAATTGGTACAATTGGTACAATTGATATTACAATACCCAAAACGGATGCAATAAAACATCACGTTGTAAACTTTATTTATCACCATTCAAAAAAAAGTATACAAAGTAAAAATTTTTTTTCTTAATCATTATCATTCCAATCAGTTTTTAAAAAATAATAATCGATTTATTATATTTTATATATTTTTAATTTTATCTGTAACTAATGTAATTTAAATAAAAATTATTATTCAATTATTATTTTTTTCCAGTAGGTAAACATCATTTCTTTATCTATTGTATTGTACTATAAAGTTATATATATGAAGAAAGAAACAACATCTTTTGGATACAGAGCATACAACAAATTAAATGCTAGCTTGTCTACACTTCTATATTTAGCTAATATTGAAAAGATTTTAAAACAATATTATATATACTAAATATAACCAAATAATAGTTATATTTACTTACTTAGAATTTTTAATTGGACATAAAAAAAATTGAAAGTAGAAGAAAATTGAAAAGAAAAATAAATTAGAATTACAATAATATAAACTACTAAAATTAAAACTAAGTTGTTTAAACTATAAAACTTATATAAATAAAAAAGATATCTAAAAAATAATCAATTGTTTGACTTATAAATTGGTGCTAATCTTAAAAATGTAATTTTATTGATATGAATGATAGAATATGATTAATATTATTTGTTATTATATTAAAAAACCAATTTGAACAAATTTAATTTTTGTTTTGTTATTTTGACAAAATCTAATTAAATAATTAAAGAGCAATAATTATTTAAAAAAAGTAAACTGATTTTGATTTTTTTAAATTTTGAAATAATGCAATAAGTAATATATTAGGAAATTTTTGGTGAAGATCTTTGAAAATCTTTGGATATAGATCTTCAAAGGTCCTTTGTCATCATTAAAAGATTTTAAAATAAAAATTTATATATTAACCTTTTAGAGATCTTTGATTTTTTTTAATAATAATAGATTATATTTATATTTGTGTATTTATTATAATTAAAGATAGGTTTCTAAATTAAATATAAGAATATAATTCAAATGTCCTTTACTATTAAAAAAGTTTTTTTTTAAATATAAGATCAAAAAAAAACCACCAATAAAGGTTTTTTGCAATTTAGGTCACTTGATTTAAATGTTTTATGAATTATATTCCTATTAAAATAATGAATAAATAATTATGTCCCTTTAAAGAGACATAATTAATCTGTGGAATTTTATATACTAAATAATTTAAAAACATATCCTTAATTATAATTTAATAAAATTTAATTTAAAATATTTAATTTGCTTATAAAATTATTTTTATTATTATATAATTCTTGTTTATATTTATTTATTTATTTAAATCTTTACTTATTGCCAAAGTTCTTTTTTCTAATTCTCTATTTTTTAGTAGTAGTCCCAGATTATTCTTAGTATTTTTAAAGTCCTTTGAAGATTCTTTTATAGTAATAATTTGTAACTCAATTATTTTTTTATTTTTACTACTTGAATTTTCTTTTTTCAAATCCAAGTCTTTTTTTTAATTCTTTTTTAAAAATATTATTAGCAATAATTATGGTTCCAAAAATTGGAATCAAACAGAATTTCAAGAAATCGTTTAAGGTTCAAAACATTATTAAAAATGATAGTGGGGTATACTTCACCTATTAAATTTAATATAAACTTGAGAATCAAATACAGAATCGAAGAGAATCATTAGGATCCTTAGCAATAATTTATAATATTTTGAAAATTTTTAAAACTCACCTTATTTTTTTCTATTTTGTTTTTAATTAACATTTTATTTATTGAAATACTTTCATTATTCAGATCAAGAGCTGTTTGACATTCTGCAATAACAAATATTACTTGTTCTTTGGAGGTATCTTCTTTTGGTCAGTCTTTTTTGAGAATACAGGCTATTATGTTTTATATCTTTCTCTTGAACATTTGTAAAGATTTTTAAAGTATTTAACAATCTTTTAAGATTATTTCCAGGCTAAAATATCGATGACAATTGCATTTGTATTTATTGTATTCAAACACTCTTCACCAAAAACTGAAAACATGACATCATGAACTTTTGAAATTATAGTTTCATGAAGTAATTGATACTATTTCACAAGCTTTTAAAACAATAAAATATTAAATAACTAAAAAACTAAAGTTATTAATATTTATAAGAATTACCATTTGATGAATATGCTTTTTATAATATGTTTTTTAGTGTTTTCTTATAAGACCTTTGTAAAAGTCTAAATGTTTTTGCTAAAAAAATTCCTTAATTGTTTGATGAAAATCTTTATAATTCAGATATATTTTTTCAAAAAAAATTTTTTTTGCAATACTTTTTTTTTTTTTTTTTTTTTTTTTTTTTTTTAAATTTTTATTGAATTTTATTATATTTTTTTTTTTTTTTAAAAATTATTATAAAATATATTAAAAATTTTTTTTAATTTTTACAATATTAT